TGTCCCCATAATGAGAGCAGGAAAAAAATCCAATCAAAATGCACTACATCCTTTTCTTCGCGAGTCTTTGTTTTCCACTTTACTAATAACTGTCCCACTTTGACATTTTGCMACACGGGTACACAACGTTAACCTACCATCGGCCACCACAGGAACTGGTTTGGTTCTTGAAATTAAATTATATTATAAAGTTTTCCGTTACGGACAACATTTTCATGCTTTGAATATTGCTGGTCAACTTTACTCGAGAAAACGAAAGATTACAGATTATAATGTAACACAATATCAGGWTTAGTGAAATTTAAGTCAACCTAGAATGCCTTTCATTCAAATCCGAATTTTGGAGATTTCCACATTTTTTTAGCACAAAACAACACTAAACAGACTTGWAAACTGATTTTAGAAATCAATCTAAACAAAATCTAAGCTTATATAAGCCTACTTCCACTTTTTTACATTACGATGTTAAGGYATCCATATATGAAGATTTTTATGTACCTTTTGATTATGAAAAGGTTCCTTTCAATGGATGTGAAAAAGTYGATCCGTCAGGGTCTCATGAAGTTTGCATCCAGTAAAAGGACCTTTGAAGCCCWGAATCAACTCTTAAWYCATATTCGTCCATGGCTCTTTATCAATTGCATTTATATATTTGTTTTATAAGGACGGACGGACGGACAGAACCGACAGACACGGACGGACGGACAGACTGACTGACGACGGAGGKGACCTATTCAAGCTATCAAAAAGCAACTCGATGGGTTATCAATTTTTCTGGTGCTCCTCTATAACAAATAATGACGACGAAATTAATTTAGTGTATAGATTATAAGACAGCTTAGAATCCAAGTTTAGTAAAAGCTCTTGTCAGTCAAATTCTCCCAGAGAGTATACTAAACCAGGAAAGCACAGCTCGACTTTTTCACGAAGATCGCTTAAAACTGTTTATCCTGGATGTAAGCTAAAAAGGTAGACATCCTTTCTAAAGAAGGAAAAATAAGAATCCTCCTTTTTTGAATTAGTAAAAGTAGTTTATAAAAAATAGTTAATTAATAAAAAGATCTAAGGCTGAAGAAACGAAGAAAAAGGAAAAAAAGTAATCTTAATGCGGTGGGAATTGAACCCACATCCATCGACTTTAATTAGATATAATTAATTCAAAAATACAGAAAAAGAAAAAAATATTAGTGCCTTCATGCCATACCCCGAGACATCCGCTGGGTCATCGTATGGACTTCGGACATGACGGCGATTAAGTCCCTCTGCCCTTGGGTGTACGGATTACGCAGGATAGTGTTCTAGCCGAAGCATCAGGGG